TATATATACGCACACACACATACACACACATACACACACACACTAGAGCCATAGTGGCGCAGTGGTTAGAATGCAGTAATGCAGGCTACTTCAGCTGTCTGCCAGCTGCCTGCAATTTGGCAGTTTGAATCTCACCAGGCTCAAGGTTGTCTCAGCCTTCCATCCGTCCGAGGTGGGTAAAATGAGGGTCCAGATTGTTGGGGACCATATGCTGATTGTGTAAAGCGCTTAGAGAGGGCTGTAAAAGCACTGTGAAGTGGTATATACAGTTTAAGCGCTATTGCTATATGTACTGTATACTATAGTGTATAATTATATTATAAATACATAATATACAGAAATGTATACATGTATAACTTTGGGCCAACCACTCTATCTCAGGAAGTTGGCAAGGGGAAACCACTTCTGAAAATGTTGCTAAGAAAACTACATCGTGTATCTACATACCCGAAGTCAAAATGGCTTGAAGCACAAACAGCCTTCCTTAAAATTAATGGGCTTCTTTCCAGGCAAGCATGTTTAAGATATAATGAATTTCCAAATAGGAAATGCAATGCAAATGCATTAGCTATATTGAGTGTCATGCAGTAGATTCCATTTCTTCCTGTATTTAAAACCCCGAATTAACATTCAGAAATATGCAGGCACCATGCAAAAAGGCACTTTCTGCATGATGCACAAAAATCTTAAGTCTTGGGTGTCGCATAGCTCCGCTTGATTTCTGGCATTTCCTCTCTGACTGATTTATTTACTCAATGACCAGGGAACATTTCCATGACTGTGCTGCCTTCCCAGCACAAAGGTTTCTGTTTGCTGGTTTGCCAGTCCTTCAGTTGCCTAGATATCATAAACAGTAGTAGCCAAGCGGGTGGAAAAGATGTGTGGCTGTAGTTCTAGCACCACTGAGACTACCTCATATTCTCTAAATCATTCAAACGATGTTTCTTCAACCAAAGTTTCCAAGAAAACACTCAAACGGTAAGTGAGAATCAAGGCCAATTTTTTGTCTTCCTCTCTGGGACCCTCATATGCTTTTTCCATTTGATTTGTATTTTCATTGTGTCTGTTTTTAAATGAGAGAAAAGGACTGCACTTTCAGAATGCGTGATTGGATTTTTATGAGTTTCTAGTAACTTAGCCCAAAAGTACTTATTATCATAAAAGTAGGCATGGGTGACTTTGGGGCCAGTCACTCTTTCTCTCTCTCTCTCTCTCTCAGACCAACCCACCTCACAGGGTTGTTGTGGAGAAAATAGGAGGGGGAAAGAATATTAGTATGTTCGCTGTCTTGAGTGATGTCTAAAGTAATAAACCTGGAATAAAAATCAAAAAGAAAAGAAGTTGGAAGTTTCCTCCCCCTCAGGGGTTCAACTCCCTCTGCAGTAAAGAAATCCTATATTTAACCCATCAGACAGACTTCAGCTTCTGTTTGAACACACTCAACGAAGGAGAGCTCACCAACCACTTTAAATAGTTGGTCCTACTGCAAACCTGATCTCATTATTAAGAATTTTCCTCAACTAATTATACATTGTATTAATTTTTAAAGAAGAACCCTTCAGCTTTTTTTTAAAAAAAAGTATCTTTTTTTTCATATTTGTAATCCATTCTCGCTTTTGACATTTAAGCTGACCTAATATGTTTCGTCTTGTTGAACTGCATACAAGTGCAGACTAGAATCACACAGCTACTTGGCCATCGACCAGATCATTTTTATTCAATGTTAAAGAAGAGAAGTTGGAGGGAGGGGAATCTCAAGGAGACATGGAAGAGGAAGCATTTTGTTGGCTGCATTCACTCAAACTGGGTCTTGTCCAAAACACGTATCCTTCCTCTCACCTATGTAGCTAATATTTTGGTGTCTTCAAGGGATAAACTTCTATCTGATGATAATCCAATGGCATCAAGTAGAAGGGTTGGACTGAAATTTTCCACCTTCTTTTTAGGGCTTTTAGGGGAGGAAAAAGTTTTCAGTACAAAATTGAGATGTTAAACATAGAGGTTTAAGGCACCTAGTTTATCTTCTTTTTTCTTCTTTAAATCAAGAAATGAAAATCTTAATGATTGATAAATTTTAGAATATGAATTTAGGAGATCCAGAGGCTGCAAAAATGGGATTGTGGATGCTCAGTCCTGCCTTCAAACTATATTGCAGCTGTAGACAATGTACTGTATGATGTGACAATCAAAGAACAATTTTTCATTTTTTCACAGTAAGGAACAAATATAAACCAGAAAGCACAAAGATAAGTGTGATGCACTTACAAGATTGAACCTTCACTTGGTCTTTGTTACAAGAAGGAACTAGAAGCCTTCTAATTGGATTTTAACAAATCTCAGTTTAGCTTTAAACCTGAATCCAAAACTATGGTTAAACCTATCTATGGTTAGTTTTTAAAAAAACAACTGTCATACTTTAGGAGGCATTTGTTTCATTCAACCAGAAGAATGTAAGTTTGCTTGCCTCACAGAATTCCATGTTCCTTTGTAATCTGCCCCTCCTTATATTGAATTTGTGTCATATTTGGCACCAGCTACTATCTCCCATCGTGGTAAATATTACCTGGCTCTGTAAACCTATAGGGTCTTCAGGACAAAACTCTGCATCAGATACATGCTCTCAAAAGCCCATCACAGTCTTACTACAATAGGAATAGCACTTAGACTTACATACAGTGCTCTACAGCCCTCTCTAAATGGTTTACAGAATCAGCCTATTGCCCCCAACAATCTGGGTCCTCATTTTACCCATCTCGGAAGGATGGAAGGCTGAGTCAACCTTGAGCCTGGTGAGATTGAACTGCCAAATTGCAAGCAGCCGGCAGTCAGCAGTAGTGACCTGTAGTACTGCACTCTAACCACTGCACCATCAGGGCTCATAAATGGAAGCCACCACGTAAGGCATCAGAGGGAGCAGCACTTTGATTGACAGCAAAAAGAAAAATCAGGTAGCCAGAACACCTTTGATGTGCTCTTCAAAAGAGGCACTGAAATAGCAGGTCAATCAGACCTGTGACTCAGGAGAAAGGAAAGTTGCTCTGTTCAGCACTTAGTTCTTCCTAATTGTAGGATTAGCCCTAATGATAGGTGGCCTGGAACTGGATATCACACTAAGCTGTGACATCTTAAGTAGAGGCAAAGGATTCCAAAATTCTCCCAGCTGTCCTGGAGAAGGAGAGCAGGCCCATTTTCACGAAGTGCTATTTATTGCAAAATTCCACAATACTCAGCAAAAGCCCTACACAGAGATTTTCTCCACATGCGCAGAAAAATTGTGAAATTTTTTCTCAGAAATAGGTTTGGATGAGATTAAAAAAAACCTCCTCAAGTAAATCATCCAGGCCTTAATCAGGGGAATCAAACTTGTAGCATCATGTTGTCATCACCTGAAGTATTGTGACTTTCCCCCCCACTTTGCTAAACTGGGGATGGGCATGGCCAGTGTGTGATGCATCCGGCCCACAGGCTCCGAGTTTGACCGCCCCCGCCCCTTCACTGAAGCTGGAATGCTAGATAAAACACACAAATTACAAAAACACATACTTGCATTGTAAAGTAAATGGAAAACTTGCATTTTGCAATGAAATGCAATGGAATGAAATTACCTAAACTACTATTTTGTATTTGTTTATTATAATTTCTTCCCCACCAAAGACTCAAGGCACTTTTTTTAATTTATGAGAAATTTTGAAAACCTACTGTAATTAATATGATGTTCATGCCTCATGAAAGAAAGCAATTAAAAAAAAAACAATTTGTAACGTTTAATGGTGAGATATATGAATCAAGTTTTCTCTGTTTAATTTCCAGCATTCCAATTTCCAAGCAGTTGGCTTCCATAAAGGGTAAGGTGATCTATGCTATTTTTCTATCCATCTCTGGTTAGGTGACAGTATTAAACCTAGCAATTACACCTAGCAATAGGTCACCCATGATGCAAAGCATACATCGTTGCTCTTCCGGAATGAAATGTTTCATCAAATCTTGTGGGGATTTTATTTCTTCCTACAAACTTTTTCCTATATAATGCTGAGCAATGCAGTCAGTACTGAAAACAGCTTTTCCTGAAGTCCATGGCAGGAGTGCAATTAGCTTACTATAACAACTTCATTGCCAAACCGTATGCCACTGTTATTAGTCTTGTCTTCCCATGGTACTTCCTCTCTTGGACTTTCTCCCATGTCTGTTGCTTCCTCAGCAGTTCACTTTTGGGTGCCACCATACTGATGTACTCCTGGATGCTTTGGGTTTCATCCCGAAGAATGGCTTCAACATTCACCAGACCCCAGCTGCTCTCTTTCTATGTGTTGTATATTTTCTGGATATTGGGGTAGGAACCTCTGTATATTGTGAGGAGCTTCTGGTTCTTCACGTCAGTAGTTTCCAGATCCTGCTCTGGCAGCTCACTATAATAGCAGAGTATCTGGCAATTGGCAGGGCATATATGTTGGTAGCCTGGATCTTATTCTTCCCATTGAGCTCACTTTTATCCTTTGGCGATATTTGGATGTTGCTGTCTTCCTTTCCTCCTCATTGAAATTCCCATGTGGCTCTGGGATGCCAAGGTACATGTAACTGGTCTGTAGATCTGCTATGTGGCCCTCTGGTGCTCCATCATATCAGTTGTAACTACCTTCCCTCTGTTGACTACCATCTGGTCTGACTTTGACAGTCTGAATGACATCCCAATGTTCTCACTGTAGATCAACAAGTCAATGTCTCATTCACTCTTAACATACAGATTGATGTCATCCATGTAGAGGTGGTGACTATGGTAGTTCCATTCTTGAACTTACATCCATATTCAGTTCTTGTAATTGTCTGACTGTGGGGTTAAAGGGTATGAAGAACAACATTAGGAACTGTGCAGTACCTTGGTATATGCTGCACTTGATGGCCACTTGAGTGAATTGCCTTGCGTTGACTTCCAGTGTTGTCTTCCACAATCCCATTGAGTTCTTGAGGAAGATCCTTAGTGTCCTGTTGATTTTATAAAGTGCCAGGCATTCACCATTCCATGTTTTCAGTATTGAGTCATAGGCTTTCCTGTAGTCAATTCAGACTGTGCTCAGATTGGTTTGTCTTAGAATCTTAGACAGTTCTATCTATGTACTATGGGTGTTTTGAGCCTCTTGCATTATTTCCAATGCCCTTCAGAATTGTGCTCAAGAAGTGGCCCATATGATCCTGCAGCTTGGCAGCTGTGATGCCTGACAGGACTTTCCATGTTGTGGGGAGGTAGTAGTTGGACAGTGCTGTTTCTTGTGGGAATCTTTCATGATCAACATGAAATCATTTCCTTATGTTAGCCAGTTTGGGTGGGAGTCTTCTGCTACCAGCTGGTTCAAACATGCTACAAGGCATTCATGCATGGCTGCTGGTTCTTTAGCCAGTAGATGTGGATCGTGCCTGGATCTGGTGTTGTCCATCTCTTCATGTTCCACTTTTGGATGTCTGCTACTGTGATGGTGATTGGTTCTGGTATTGAAGATTGCTATGGTCTGCTCTCAGGTGTTGCAGTCACTTTGCACTGGTATTATGTGTCTTCTCTTTCTCCCATAAGTTCTTCAAGTACTCTAGTTTCTGCTCTTAGTGGCTCTGCTGTTACTCTATTATTGCACTGCAATTGGAAGTACACCTTGGATGGTTGCTTGGAGAACAGGACATTTAACTTCTTGGCCTCTGTATCTCCTTAGTTTGGTACCCAGTGCTGTGAGCCTTTATTTAGCCATCTTTAGGGCTTCAGGTGGAGTCAGACACTTGCATTTTTTTTTCAGTAGCCAGGTCTTAACTGTAATCTTTACACCAGTGGTGGTATTCTACTGGTTTGGCCCGGTTCTGCCGAGCCGCTAGTGCCGATGAGCAGCGGAGACCGAACTGGTTCTCTCTGTCGTTCTGCTGTTGGGCCCACCCACTAACCCAAGCTCCCATACTCACTTTTATCCTCTGGTTTTGAAGTGTAGCTGCTTTGTGCGGCATAGTAGAGTGCTGCACGGCAGCTGCTGAAACTACAGGGAGAGTGCAGGCTTGCAGGAGGTGAGTTGGAATGCCTCTGTGACTGTGTGAATGCCTCTGCGCCTGTGCAAGTGCGCATTTTGGTACACACACACATGCAAATGTGTGCACACATGCAAAGCGTGCCCCCCAAGCCATGGCCACCGAACCAGTGGTAAAAAATTTTGAATCCCACCACTGCTTTACACCCTTCTGTAATAGCAATAGCACTTAGACTTATATACCACTTCACAGAGTGCTTTTATAGCCCTCTCTAAGCAGTTTACAGAGTTGGCATATTGCCCCCAACAATCTGGATCCTCAGCGGAATTAACTCAGATCTGGGTCCTGAGTTAATTCTACTGACTCACTAACTTCTCTCCAAATTGCCCTGATCTTAGCATCTAACCTCATCTTACAAGTTGGAAAATATCCTACTTATACATGAAATAGAAGGAGGGATACTGTATGTGTAAGATTTACCACTATAATTAGCAAGCGTCCGTGAGTGATATTCATCAATAATGAGACAATTATTATTTGTAGCCCTCAATGTCTTCTCCCAGAGTTTAGAAATGTTAATTAAACTAAACAATTATTGTGTCATGAAATTACAAGATATCAGACAAGTCAATATTGATGGTCCCTCAGACCTGGAATCTGTTCTGTTTTAGCTTCTTCCTCCCTGTCACCGTATCAGTGTTGTATTCACTCCTGTAGACTTCTACTGCATCACCTTCCGTATATTTTTTGTTTCTCCTCCTTCCTTCTCAGGTCTAAGAAAAAGCTCTGATCTAGAAAAAGCTATGGCTACAGCAGCCTTGGTTTATGACAATGAGGCAGATGCTGAGGGCAAACTCAGCAAATGTGAAGCTAAGAAGCTGCTCCTAATTCAGTTTATGCATTTTGTAAAGGTAAGACTAGACCGCTTATTCCGTTACAATAGCTAACAATGATGCCTGGCAAGGATAATTCTCTGAAATCTCATAGAACTTTCAGACATAGAGAGTTCCTGTATAAAATATCCTTTTAAGCATCACAGAATACGAGAAAGATTTCATACATACCTGCAAGTTCAATGAGGATGTGGGAATATTCAGGACAGAGAAAGTGAAGTGAGTGCAGCAAAGGAGAGGATTATCTGTCTTAACCACAAGCCAGCAACCCCTCTTTCTTTTCATTCCTCAAAAAGAGGGGATCTTTTTTTTAGAAACTGATGCTGAAGAGCAACTGTCCCAGTCAAGAGAAGGACTCGCATTTAGCCAAGCAGCTTTTGGCTCATATTGTCTACAAACAAATAAGAAAATCCAAAAATAATTAGGTATCCTCTTTTCTTCAAATCAGGAATTTTCAATTTGAAAGCTAACAATGACTTTAAGCCACAATTTGATTTAAGATTGTTGCTTTTTCTGAACCTGGGAGTTCTAATGAAGTAATGTTTAGAGATTTCATTATGGCATGGAAAGGTTTTCTCTGAGTGTGCAATTGTTTACTTTTATCTTGTTTAGTGAACTATCAGGAAATACGTCCAATCTCTCCAACCAGAATCTTGATTTTGTAGTCATCCTTAAAAACACATTTTGTGGGTCAATTCCTTTCATTAATAAGAATGATGAAAGTCATGTCCATATTTTGCTATTAAAAAAACCTATTCACTTTCCTTCACAGGGTCAAGAAACCAAACCAAAGTACCAGGAAATGATGTCTGCTCTTGATGAGAACAAGAATGACAAAATTGATTTTGAGGATTTTATGGTTCACGTGGTTAGCCTCACCTTGATGTCTGATCTGCGACAAGAGATTCAAAATGTGCGGAAAACTAAATGATTAAGAATGTCAAATAAAAAAACTGGATTGGGAGAGGGGGAGGTTGGATTTTTAAAGTAAGTGTTTCAGAGAACATTACTATTCCAGATAGAATTATTTGTGACATTATTAATATCTATCAATATAATCAATATTATAGACCAAGGAGCTCTTTGGGCAACAAATGTACGAAAATAGATTAGTCGTCCATTTGGTGATTTTACACAAGGAAGAACACACTTCTGTGGAATATTGCGCTAGGTGAAGTGTGATTATTAAATGAAATCGTAATGAACAAATCTATCAGCAAAATTCAGGCAGTGGTGTAGGTACATTCATAATGTAATAGTGTACAATAACAACCATGGGGAGAATAATTTGCTGCCCCAATTCCAGATATCTCATAAAAATAAATGTTTTTATCCACACCCAGTGACTGGTAGAAACGTATCTTTCTACTTATACAAGGAATGACTGTGGAGAAGATAACTCAAGATGTACATCAGGGGTGTCAAACTCAAGGCCCATGGGTCAGATCTGGCCTGCAGGGCTGACCTGCAAACTGCCTTTGCTAGGGAATGGAGTCCTTCCGAGCTCCATTTTCCCTGGCAGAAGGTTGCAGAAGACCATTACAGCCAAAAATGGAGCTCAGAAGCCCATTTTCATTGGCAGAGGACTTGGGCCACCACAGGCACCCCCAACATGAGTGACATCAAGCTGGTCACACCCACCCTGGCCATGCCCACCCCGGTCTCCCAACATCAAACACAACCCTGATGTGGCCCTCAATGAAATCGAGTTTGACACCCCTGATGCACATAATTATTTTTGCTTTAAATATCACTTGTTTACACAGAGATACAGTAGCTGATCTCCATCGTCCGATGAGAATTCAAACCAAGAATTTCAACTTGGTAAGGTCTAAATTCATGCTAGCAGAGTATAATTGTTCAATACCTTTCATAGCTATTCTGAATGAACCTCACGTTGGCTTGTTAAGGAATTTTACCTACAGTAATTTTACCTAACTTTAGGAAACTTTCAGGATTGGGAGGCTGACATTCAATACTGTTTATATAGGTCTAAATTTAAAGGAAGGTTATACGAGTTATTCCTAGTGGCTTTGATTTGCTTGTCAGGAGGTTGCAAAAAGTATCACATGACCTTGGGACACAGCAACGGTCATAAGTATGAGTCAGTTGCAAGGCTTCTTCTTTTGGCTTGTTTCTTTCCATCCTGTCCTCTAAACCACCAAACCTGAGACAAGACTTTCATTGTATTTTCCACTGGCCTCGTGGTGATCTTATATGTGGTACCATCCACATATTGGTGAGGTCTGAACTGAGGGAGCATAGCAGGTTCAAGTAGATCTTAAAGGGCAGGTATGAAGCTAAAAAGTGTTTTGCAATTGCCATATTTTAAAAGAAAAATACTTTTAATACTTAGTTGCAAAAAAAATGTTCCTAACATTTGTGAAGGTAACAGTGCTTCCAACCCCTTCATTTTCTCTCTCTTGCTTGAGAAGAAGGGGCGGATGGGTGGTCCTTTAGCCTTGGAACACATTTATTTTCTTTGAGAAAGAAGAAAGACGAATGGAAGAAAATTAGCCAGTTCCCCGGTGACCTTTGGTGCTAATGAAGGGGGAAAATAGATACGTATAAGGGAAAGATTTAGCTCATTGACATGACAGTCATTGTGCTGCAGCAACCTGTTGTTCTCATTTATGCTTCACATCAGGAGTCTAATAGCCACCTCTTCCTGGAGTGAAAAATGTGTTGATCCAAGGCATTGCCTTTCATATTTACCCAACCCTGTCTGGATAATGGACACCACCACACATACCTTTGCATCTAGCTATTCTTTCCCCCAGACTATCCATTGAAGGCCACTGACTCGCAACCATCCCATGATCCAAGTCCCTGAGCGATCAGGAAAAAAAAATGGAAACTATAATCATTATGAGAGCACACTCTCAGCATTGCTTTATTGTCATAGGGGGACAAAATAGGCTGTAATGGTACACAAAACATCCCACCTCCAAAACATCTGTTCCAAACAGAATGGAATTTTCAACATTTTGCCTACCTGTAGTAGAGATGATTGCATGGATGATGGTAGTGTAATGGCAGGTTTTAAGCTCAACCTCCTGTCTTCCTTACTATCAGATCCCAATGACTGACTGGCTTTTCATACAAATTGAGAAATAATTATGTGTCGCTCCATGTGCAATCTTTAGCTCAGCAGCTATGAAGTTTCTTAATCAGAAAAAAAGGCAGACCATGATGGTAAAACTATTTTAATTAAAGAGAAAAATTTGTCCAATTTTGTTTCTGCTTCTGCTTTTAACAGAAAAAAAATGCAAATTCGATTTTAGGTTTTGGTTACTGGATTAACTTTGTTGTTAAAGAAATGGCTTGTATCTATTAGAAATGTAAAGAAAAGTTGAAGTGCAATTGCAGATTGTATTCTGCATTTTGTCTCTGCTTTTTCTTTTTATCTTGCATTGCTCTCCCCTTTCCTTCCTGTTTTTTATTTCCATTTGGACTTTATACCACAATAAACTCTCATAAAAAATGTAAAGAAAGAGGCAGACTGCATGATAGCTGGAAGCAGCAAAGGGTCCCCAGACTGTTGCCAAGATGCCTGTTTGCTGTCGACTTCATTTATCTGATAATACAAACTGAAGATTTATTTAATGATGCAAATTAAATAAAACAAAACAAAACCTGGCGTGGTCTGGCATTATATGAAGTTGTGGGAATGTTTTTGAGCTCTGCAAAGAGTTCTGGTGATTCCACATCTGGCAATGGTTACTAGCCATGGGGAGTCCCAAAGCTGCTTTTTCAGGAGGCAACTGGACTTTTCCTTTCTTTTGAAGACATTTCGCTTCTCATCTAAGAAGCTTCTTCAGATCTGACAGGATAGTGGAGAACGGAAGGATTTATATTCCTTGCAGACAGCTGGTCATTTGCATCCTTTTAGAGGGTCTTTGAAGCACTTGGAGGTTTATCAGTTGTCTCAGGGTCACCTGAGCAGTCCTGGTTCCTGCAGTCTGCAATTTTTTCCTCTGGAAACCCATTCCTACTCACACACCATTCAAAGAGTATTCATTTCAAATTATATAGCTAAAAGTCTCTAAAGGTTCTCAATCATCCCAGGTCATGGTTGTCCCAAAGGTGCTTTTTCAGGAGGCAACTGGACTTTCTGGACACCTTCAAAAGAAAAAAAAAAGGAAAGTCAAGTTTCCTCCTGAAATAGCATCTTTGGGACAACCATGACCTGGGATGACTGAGAACCTCTACAGACTTTTAGTCATAGGGAGAATGTAACCATCTCATGTTCTGAAAAGTCCAGATGTTCTGCCTGTTGGTTGCCTACTCTTGGATTATGGGTAGCATCAGAAGATAAAACAACTGGTCAAAGTGTGCAGTCTCAAATAAGATTGGTTCATCTCTACCTGCTATCTCATGGCTGAAATGTTCAGAATCAGAATAAGTTAGCTTCCTTTGTTCCACGTGTGGATGACAAGGATTTCTGCCACAAAACAACTGCAAGTTCAGGCATGTACTTAAATGTTTGCTTTTTGCTTGAGGTCCGTCCCCCCCCGCACAGACCCTGAAGTTGTCTCAGAAGCAGGTGACATGAAAGGAGGAGAAGCTGGCCACCTGCCATCCTCAATCTCAATCCATCATGAACAAATGTCAGAGTAAACAATCTGCATTGCAAAACCTTGCCTTTAGAGCTACATGTTTGCAGCACAGTTTCTCCAGGCAATTAGTAAAGGATGTCACAGAGCTTGCAAGGAGTCTGGCAAGAAGAGCAAGCAGCAACTGTCCAGAGCCATTTATCCATGCCATTTAATTCGTTTTTTTTTAAAAAAAAAACCTTAAAACAAGAGAGCAAAGAGACAAGGATGATTGCAGAGTAGCACCTAGAATGGCGCTCAGGCAAAAACAGAGAGCCTGCGAACTGAGCCTTTCACTTTTAGAAGAACATTTTGCTACTTTTGGAAAGTCAGGACTGGCAAAGAATATTCTTGCTGCTCCATCAGTCAAAGAATGAGAAGTTTCTGCGTCCAGTTTATGTGTCTGCAGGTGCTTTGTACCTCCCCAGAGATCCAAAGGTTGTTTGTGGGATTTATATCCTGGACTAAACAAATCAATATCAGTGCTTTCCATCTAGAAGTTTACAGCATTCAGGCCTGTCACCACCAGTTAAAGATGTCCATGAGGGGCATAATATGCTGCGGATCAGGATAGGGAAATGCCGTCTGCAGCTTCTTCCCCTTCATACACAAGCATCATGGGTTCGGTTACATGATAACCTTCAACAAAATCTCAGAAGCTCCAGGGCTCATTCCAACCAAAACAAAATATGCAAGATCAGCACATTGTTTGAAAGGATATTAATGTCTCTATTTTTCAGCAATTTCAGATGTTTTGACATTAATGGAAATTTCATGGCTATTTATACACTTCTTGACAGCTCAGGAATATCTGTATACTACTAAAACTCTCTTTAACCTTGAAATGAGGAAAATGATGCATCAATGGGCAACAGTTTTTTGAACCAAGATACCTTAAATAGGCTAATTTTCAGGGTGTGTACAAAATCTGCAACCCATGACTTCTGAGGGAATGAAATTTGAGAAAGTTGTGTCTGCTTCAGGGTTACTACATTGCTAGACTGCTGCTATGGTCGTGTATCTTTGTATTCAATGTTCTGTGACAGTTTCCCAGCCAGTCTCGCAATCCCTTGTTCCATCCTCCATCTAGGAATAGCCCCTTACCTACAGGAAGGGGAGAGGAGAGAAGAAGAGATTTCTGATGCTCCCTGCTAACTTCCCATAAGGAAAGTCACTCACCCACCCACTGCTTTTTTGCCCACCCATGGTAATTCTGTTTCTCTGTTTAGGTAAGGAAATATATCTGAAACAATGATCCAATGGAACATAGGTTGTCTCTCATGAATCCCAAGAGAGAAGCTTTATTCATAGTGCCCATTTTTCCAACTGTGCAAAA